TATATTAAAATAGAAAACAGTTATATATCATTATAATACTACTTCACAATATTACTGTTTTTACTGCATTTTTGATCAAATAAATGAACCTTGGTGAGCATAAGACATTTTTGAACGGTAGTGTACCTTTTAAACATTATTATATATTTATATATTTATATTATATTATATAAATGACCAATTAAAGGTGAGAAATATTAAAAACTCTCGGCATGCTTCAAATATGCAATTTAGGTTATAAGGGTTAAGTTGATGAACTAAAGCTAAAATACAGCCTACACACTTCAGTCCCACAGTGACAGTCTTTCCACACTTATTAACAGTGAGTCACTCTGTCAAGAGATGTGCTTTTTCTCCCATGGCTCACTGTGTGTTAATTACGGCAGTGGAGGCTGCAGTATGTGCCTGGGTTGAATTGATTTGGAATGATGCGTTACCTTGGCGCCCTTCTCTCCTTGTCTGCCTTCAGCTCCAGTAGCCCCCGGGGGTCCCTGCGGACAGAGAAAAGGACGTTTTATTTGAGATTTGTTCTCTGCTGGGCTATAAAACAAATGGGAAAAAGGTCACCGTGAGACATCACGGTAGCACTTCGGGGATCTTGCTTGGTGGCTATTAATGGGCAAATGGATCCACTTGAAGGTCTTTTGTGTGAACATATACTCATTCATACTCGTACGGTTATTTGTAAACGTGACCGGGGCTAGTTGTCACATTTTCACATTTTTAGTGAATATTTCCTTAGAGCGTTGGCTACAAAAACATTTTCCTTAAAGCACTGGCTATTGAACATTTCTACCATTATATCCAGGAAAAAAATTAAAACAATTAATGAAACAACAAAAATGATTGTTAATGTACAGAAATATGGATTTCTACTACATAAAATGTGACGGCTTGCCCCAGCCTGACATCTATGAAAATTGCCCTTGCCCTGGCAAAAACTTTCCTATATTTTCAAATATACCTTATACCTATATATATATATATATATATATATGAACCTTGTTTAATGTCAGCATGGTTTGATAGTGTTTACCTAACAGGGTTGGAAAAATATTAAAATTTTAGTTGGATGATTAAAAAATAACTCGGTTTTGAACTCGATGTGTGAAACTAGCATACAAAACCACTGCTAGAGAAAATATACATTTGTTTAATTGGACTTTTGACCTTATACTGCACATAGTTACTGAGATAAAACCTGCTTGACAATTTGCCCTCGACTCCCCTGTGTGATTTTAATTTAATGAAGAGCAGGAAAAAATCAACTAATGACAGCAGGAAGATTCACCAAATTCAATAATTCTCAAGATAGTTAATAGTCTAGGGACTGTCCCTAGGGTCCAAGACTGAACAGAGTGCAAGAAACAAACAGAGAGAGAATAAGCAAAGGAATCTCCATATTTATTTCCAACCACGGTCGGTAAAATGCTGAGAAAGCAGAATGCCTCTGTCTTCGATGCAAAATAAGCTCTAGCCGGAATGATTGATGCAGGAGACTTAATTCTACAAGATGAGTCTTCCTGCGACCATCTTCCTCTTGCAGGATTAAAACACCTTTGCTGATGAAATGGCAGTTTCTCTAGCTACAGTCCGTCAGCCATTGCTATCCGCGTATGCTGATAGGGTGTATAATTTTTCCAGAGAGAGCTCCATTAAGCATATTGGGAAAGCGAGTGGTGTTTTCTCTACATTTTGCATGAATAATGGATGTGTGTGTGCAAAGAGATGCCATTAAGCTTTATAGAGGAATAATGGGATAGCACAGTGTTGCTTGGGCTGGCCAATAAAATTCAACCAGGGCTGTTTGCCATATAGTAAGAATCTTTACCAGAGGATCTGTGACCCCTAGAGACTCCAAAGAACTACCATGGGGGTACAGCAGTTATTTACACCTTGTTTGAGCTGGTCAAAATTGGTACACTAAATAAATACAAGGTCTTAAACGTCAGAAACACGTGACCACGGCAAGGACTGCCTACTTACCTGTCAATCAACCATTGCCAATTACATAAAATAGGTTAACTTCAAGTAAAACTAAGGATAATAACTTTAAGTTAAATGTTTCATTGTGCTTTCCACATTAAAATGTGCTAAATAAATGTAAAATACGATTATATGACTTTGTGCATCAAGATCACAAAGGGTCTACTGCAAGTTCAGTGCAAATGCAGCAAAACTGATATCACAAGACAAGAGGACATAATAATATTTCACTTGCTGGTTTGATAGAGTGCAGTGAGAAACACCTCAATACAATCTAAATTGAAAAAGTTTACTTTTTCCCTCCGGAAAAAAATATGTGGTATTTCCGTGACTAGCGAAACAACTATTTTCTGAGAGGCAATGGGGTGTCATTTGGCAGAACAAATTTCTCTTGATGTGGCAGTGGAAGAGGATTTCGAATTCCTGTCCCAAATGTGAGTTATATTTCCTCTTCCTCTGTAACATCCTTTACACCACCGTCCCCTCATCACTGTCACTCAAACAGGCCCGGGATCAATATAACGTCTGGACTGATTTTCTTCTTTCATCCTGAGAGAGATGTCAGACTGCAGTGGAGGAAATGAGTTCTGGCTCTGATGCCATTTAAATGCTGTTTTCGATTTCAGTCTGATAATTTACTTTGCACTATTCATCATCCTGTGAAGGACTTTCTTTTTTTCTGTTTGCTGTTGAATGGTATGACCCTGGGTGAAAAGCAACCGATCATCTGTGCTAAAAAATGTTTTTGACTGTTTTGCACAGGTCAGAATCTTCAGTCGATAAATCAATATCAGTTTTAGTTTATTTGTTCCATTCTGAGTGAGAAATAGTATTTTGTCTATTCCTTGGAAAATACAAAATATTGATCATTAAGAAGGCTTGTTTTCCATGCCAAGGATGGTCAAAAATACCTGATCAATATGCTAAATGGATGCTGCTTAAAATATAATAGTGATGAAGACTATACATACTCTTTTGCCAGGAGGTCCTGGTGGGCCAGCTTCTCCAGAAGGACCAGGAGGTCCCTATAACAGAGTGAAGGAAGAAACTGAAACACAACTGAACCAGCCTATTGAAGATAATAGACTTGAAACTTTTCATAACTAAACTGTCTTTTATAATTTTGTGAAATTCATTGAACACAATTATGTTGGATGGATACAATTTTACAAAATTATTCAGCTGTGTGATTGATTTGATTCTAAAATGATCAACTTCTAATCAGAGAAGGGAAGCTGTATGCATTTTTGTGAAAGTTTGTTGCTCAAAACAAACCTCTCCTCATTAAATTTTCATAGAAGTGTAGCATATAAATGGGCCTCGCAATGAGACTCAGACTCTCACATTTGTAAACCTGCAGATTCAGATACATTGAATTTAACAGTAAATTAACCAATTTCCTTGCACTGGAAAATCCAAATGACTGTAATAAATGGTAATAAAGACTGCAATTTATTGGCTGCCACTGTAGGCTTAGGCAATTATGTTTGACTTCCGTATATCAAACAACAGTTTATTATTCTATCTGTACTGTATATATACTTACGCTAGAGGCAAAAACAATGCTCTGCAATTTAATGCATACAGCAGGAAATTGTATTGGAAGACAAACAAATAATTGAAAAAGTAACTTTTTAATAAACTATAGTCAAAGGTATTGCACCTAAATATGGTTAAAACTTACAGGTTGACCAGACTCTCCATCCTCGCCTTTTTCTCCTGGGCCTCCATCTATTCCCTGATAATTTAATAGACAAAATTTCAGAGACATATAAATTGACAATTGAAAAAACAAGCAAACATGTTGCTGACTATTTACACTGCAAAGACTTTTTAATCATTCAAAGTCAATAGTAAATACATGAAACAAACCATTTTTTAAAATAATAATAATAATAATTTACAGGACTTTTAGTGATGGATTTTGGCACTTACAGCAACACCTGGCTCACCGGGTGGACCTGGGTCTCCAGGAAAACCAACAGGGCCCTATAGTAACAGATTGAAAACACGGGTTTAACAGAGTGATGTGTCAATAACACAAACACTAAATTCTATTACTGTATGTACTTAATGTCCTTAACAAATATTAGGACATACAAAACTAAATTTATCAGTTGAAGGCACGGTAACATTTCAATTGAATTACAATCTTTTATTCATCTTAGACACATAATGCTTTAATAATTTCTAATTAGTGGAGTAAGTCTCATATTTGGGGCAGTCGTGACCTAATGGTTAGAGAGTCAGACTTGTAACCCGGTAATGCAGAGCACAAATTCTGAGTATGGATCACCATAATTGGCCACACGTCACTTCACTTCTCACTTCTCTTATTTAATCAGCATAATCCATCTAAAATAGATTTTTTTTTACCAGTAAGGCTCACCTCACTGTTGTAGAGGCTTCTAACATTTCATGCCTTTATATATTCATAAGATCTCATGCCAGCTGTATTACACTTACAGGATTACCCTTGGGTCCATCATCTCCAGGGGGTCCTTTGGGACCTGCAGGTCCAGCAGCACCAGGGGGACCAGCTTCACCTTTCTCTCCTCTCTCACCTTTTGGGCCCTGTAGCACATATAACAAAGATGAAAGGGCCGAATAAAGAGCCCTGAGGCACTCCATGAACAAAAGCATCCTGAGAACAATGAGTGCAGCCATGCTCTACATTTTGATATAGCAATTCAAAAGAGTTAATCAGCCATTCATGTCAGTATTGACAGGTTAGAATTTTGACAGGCTGAATTTCCATCTGTAATTTAGATATTCCATAAATAACAAAGTTAACTTTTTAGCTTTAATCATCTGTTTTTTTCCACTGATGTCCACTTGTAATGTTACTCAAGGTTTTTGTGACATAAAGGTTTCTGAACACCAATACCAGCCGTTTGCTAATGTGTTAAAGGACAAGTCACAGATTCATGTATTTCTGGTGTCAGAAATCCAAGAAATGAAGCTGCTGTTTTTCAAGTTTACTATCTATAAATGGACATTTTGAGTTACAGTATATATATATTTTTTTACAACACACCTTTATTCTAAAAGTTCAAGGGAAATTTGATTTTTCATGATATAAAGTAAACTGACAACAGTGCGAGCAATATTTTATTTCAAATGTCACTGTATTAAGCATTTCATTATATGATGAGAGGAAAGATCTTTATTGGAATCATTCCTGCAATTTAGCGACTCACTTAGTGTGGCCGCTTAATTTGAGACAATCAATAAATCCAGAGAAGCTTACAGGAAGTGATTACCCGCATCACCACACAGATCTCTCTTGAAAACTTCACTTACCCCAGGTCCAGGCTCGCCAGGAGGTCCAGGGTTTCCAGCTTCTCCTTGCTCACCCTGTTAAGGATATTACTAGTTATAATGTATTGCACAACACCATATAATTGTGCTGTATAATGTTAACAATGTTCCATTCGACTCGAAAAGCCAGAATTTCCAGCTTTCTACTAGGCAAAGTGCAAACGAATGATACTGAAGTTAAAGTTGAACTTCCATTTGGAAATTTCAAATTGAACTCTAGTTTCTTCAACTTTAGACAATTAGTAGCACTGTCATTTTGTTGCTTTCCCTTATGATTGAAGATCAGAGATGTCAAGTAGACTCTAATGGAATGAATCATATGTAGTGGTATCTAAATAAAGCTGCATGTTGTTTACTGGTTGTTTCTTAGCTTAGCTGGTCTGGGCTATAGTGGACATAACATTCAGATCCTAATGGATGTAGCATTATAGTGACCTGTTACATATTCTAAATTCATCTCCATAGCCAGCCTCAGCATTAAATATTGATGGCCTGTGGACCTGCCAAATAGCAGTGAAATGTAGGGCTATTATCAGAACTGCGGTAATGTAGGCATTAATCGTTTTGTTATACTAATTCAGACAAAAGGATGACACGAATAATAAATTAATGAAGTCTGTAACAGAGATTTGAAACAAGACCATAGACACCATATTTCTGGGAATAAACACTGGAGCTGGGAATATTCTTACCTTCTCACCCACAGATCCCATTCCTCCTATTCCACCAGGAGGACCTTGTGGACCCTTCAATAAAAGAAGTTGATTTGTGAAGAGGCATGCGTGAAAACCATTAACTCTATAGCCATTTGGTTAAAGAGGTGTAATTTAATGGATTTGCTGATGGGAAAAATGTTCAATGTTGAGAGATGGTCTTACATCAGCACCAGGAGGACCTTGAGGACCTCTGGGACCAGGTGGGCCAGGGGGACCCTGTGGTGAAACAAGAAGAGAGACAAATGAGACTTTACTAATAGTTGTAGGTTAAAACATAAATAAAATAAAATAAATTAATATAAAATAAAATAAATATATAAAGGCAAAATAAAATTAAAAGCAAAATAACACAGGAATAAACAGAACCCTTAAAGGTTTGATTAGAACAATTTTCTTTCCTGTATTCATGTATTTCATATTTAAATTATAAGTCATGTCAAAGGCAGTTAAAAAAATAAAAAAATAAAAAATAACAACTATAGTTAATAATTGGTTAAAACATCTTACCATAGGACCAACGTCTCCATTTTCTCCTTTCTCACCAGGTGGTCCAGGAAGACCCTGTAAAAAACAAATTAATATTCTTGTATTTATGTGCATTTATAATAATATAAATGTCCATATTTTTATATACTATAGTACACTGACATCAGCAACCGTGCAAAGAAATGTTCAAAGACACTGTTGCTGTGAGGCACCAAAATGGGCCCTCTGATGAAAAGAGAAGAATAATCTGGCTCAGACGCAGTTACCGGAGGACAGCAATAATGCTTAATTTCAGAATTGGCGGAGAAAGGCAATAGGGCCATATGGCAAATGGAAGAGGCAGAGGCGGACTACGGGAGTGTTTATTGAGTTTCACTGTCTGTCATCTTGAAATCTAAGAGAGCAACAAATATCCTTTGTCAGATTTTTAGCTCATGTTCAATGTGAACACTATATTGTTTGTCACCTTTTCATAGGTGGCAAATGGCGAGGGGTGAAAAACATAGAGGACTTTCAACATTAAGCAGAATATGAAAGCTATTTTACCCAGCACAGAAAGTCATCCATGCACATTTACCAAATATATTGCCTCAGAGCAGCACAAGTTTAATTTGAACATTTAAGGAAGGACACATCCCGCATCAAACCACTATTACTCCCTAAAAATGCACCTAGGACTTAAGAGAAACACATTTTAAATCCAGAACATTGTGGGAATAAATGGGCCACCAAAAAGAAGTTAGACAGGCAGCAGTGTGCAGCAACATTTTATTTGATGCTGCTCTCTGCTAAGGGGCTAGCTGAAAAATTCATGGCGTTTTTCAGCTTAATTAATGGCCAATTAAATGTTTTACCCAGCAGAAAAGGTGAAACATCCATCAGTTAGAGTAACCAGGGAAGCATTTGCGTTTTAACGAAGTGCAAAACACTATATCATCAGAGACCTCTGGTAAAACACACCTGTGCAGGCGAATAAACAAGCTAGACATGTGACCCCGGTATCATGCATGTTTGATCCTTGACATTTACTCCCTAATTGCCTTGACTTCAGGGGCTGCTCATTCAAAGGCGTTTCTTCGCTAGCTGTAACATGTCAGGAGTGAGGACATCTAAAGTCTAATTTTGTCTGATATTTACTCGCCCAATACCCACGTGCCCTGCAGACTTGGCAGACCAACACATTCTCACTGACTGATTCTCGTGCTGGTAAGAGATCTCATCGGGGCAGAAGCCTTTATTCAGAGACCATTAACATAAACACTCATTACAGCCTGAAGGGTGTGTGTGCACTGCTCTAATGTCTATTGGACCGGGTCACTAAATGCAATTAATAAAATCCAAATGGAAGTGCATTACGCCCAATTAAAACTCAATTGAATCAAATGGCTCTGAGATTTGGTGGTGTAAGAGGACTACAGGAGCAGTCGATGTTACTCCATTACAGTGATGACTCGCCTTCAGAGGAATCAGCTAATTGATGGATAGAGAAATGTCAGAACCTTGAGGCTTCCAATCATAATATGATCAAATGAAAAGAGAGATAAGATGATTAATATAAATCTTCTACAAATACAGTGTTTACCAGTCAAACATGATATGAATGCTGATTTGTATGGTTCATTATTATAAAATAATATTTTTATAATAATTTTATAATTATAATAAAACAGTATAAATTCAGCTTTGTTATCTCAGGAATTAATTATATATTAAAATATATTAAAGGAGAATACATTTTATTTTTATAATAATTTTATAATTATAATAAAACAGTATAAATTCAGCTTTGTTATCTCAGGAATTAATTATATATTAAAATATATTAAAGGAGAATACATTTATTTTAAATTATAATAATATTACCGTATTTTAATGAAATAATTGTAGCATGGTGAGCATAAAAGACCACTTTAAAAAACATTACAAAATGTTACTGTATAAATGCTTTTAACACAGGGAGAACTTATACTCTCCCATTTAAAAAAAATGCATATGAGGTCTGAACATGTTTGTTCCAATTTGTCAAAAATGGTGAAGCTGTGGAGTAATACGCAATATTTTAAAGATTTATTTTTTGGCATTTTATAGCTTTATTGCGACAGTATGAAGACAGGAAAGTGGGAGAGAGAGGGGGACGGGATCAGGAAAGGTCCATGAGCCGAGACTCGAACTCAGGATGCCCGAAGCGCAACTGTGCTGTATGTCGGTGAATAGGAATAATGCCAGATTATTTAATGTTAGATTTATCAGTCAATAATGGTAACTAAGGGTGTACTCACACTAGGCATTTTGAACCGTGCCCGAGTGTGTTTGACCCCCAAAGCCCGGTTCGTTTGATTAGTGTGAGAGAGCGGCACAGTTCGTTTACTCGGCCCTGGCCCGGTTGGAAGAGGTGGGCCAGGGCACGGTTCGGTTGGGCTCGGGCGCGGTACGCATGCAGTGTGAGCGCTAACCGCGCCGGAGCACGTAACAGATACTATTTTGTGTACACTACTGTCATCATTACGACCGCAAACATATTCTATTACTACTACTACACTACACTTTTCAATTAATTTAATTAAATCAAGTATATTTAGGTTTATAATGGCTCTGGTTCTTACCTTATCGATGAACAGGAAATGTAGTTTGCGAGTAAAGCTGCAAATTATTTCATTAACGTCAGCTGCCTCCATAATAATTTTCTGATACATACAAGTGAAAATCAATGCACGGCATAAATTATAAATTAATTATTATTAATTATTCGGCAGAATATTAGCAAAAGTGGTTTTCGGCTCGGTTCAAGGCAACCGTGCCTAGTGTGAGTACACCCTAAATATATATTTTTGAATATATTTGATTGCATAAATATATTTCTCGGAGGGATTGGCATGGTAGTGTACATGACTATAATGACCATAAATGGTACATGACCATAATGTATTTGGTCTTGGTGGAATAGATGTGCTATGCTGCTGCTGCTGCTGCTGTGGCAGAGCAAGTACCGAGACTTGCTACTGCCAATACATCTTCTCCGTTATTTCATACATGACATAAGCATGCTCCAGCCCGGAATGTTTAGTGCAAGTGTGAGTGCAGGCCAGCGGGGGAGTGGGGGATAATCACGCTCGGGCTCGGTTCAAGGCAACCGTGCCTAGTGTGAGTACACCCTAAATATATATTTTTGAATATATTTGATTGCATAAATATATTTCTCGGAGGGACTGGCATGGTAGTGTACATGACTATAATGACCATACATGGTACATGACCATAATGTATTTGGTCTTGGTGGAATAGATGTGCTATGCTGCTGCTGCTGTGGCAGAGCAAGTACCGAGACTTGCTACTGC